TTCATAGCGACAAAATATTACGGTTTAATCTGCTCCTATTTATCTAATAAAAATTATTATTAAGTGCTTAGTATGTAAATTAAAAAAAGATGCTTTGTCAAAATATTTTACTGAAATATTTATTCTTATATTCTTCCGGAATCTTACTTCTGAACAGCATTCTTAAAGAGTCGTTCAGGCACCTTTTAAGACTTTATATTTTCTTAATTTTTAATACGCAAATAACAAGTCTACAAGTGTCTTTGAGATCGTTAAAAATCCCCATTGGAATTTACATGGCACCAGAGCGCTGTGCAGCAAACAGCATCTCGAGAAATTTCTTGGCCACGTCTCTTTCGCTCTTTCGAAGCTGCACGTTGGAACGCGGCTTCGCTCTTTCTCTAGCACCGTGGCACGGTACCTGTTTGCATAAACTCGATTATGTGCCACTAACACGCATGAAATACATCCAATACGGCCTATCTTCATCTTCCCATGAACCTCCTTCTCTTTTATTACCATCTACCGACTAACAAACCCCTGTTGCCATGTCTGCACAAAGATAATTTCATGGTACTGCAATATACTTCCAAAGTTTCATTATTGATCAATATACATGTATAGTATACATTAGGGTGATTCATTTCCGCAAAGTTTTTGCTTTTTTCGGTGCTCAAGCAAAATATTAATCTGCATATAGGAAAAAACATTCTCACCAAGTTTGAGCTCTTAATATAAATTTTGAGTACTTACTATTTAAATTTAAAGATTTACCGTTTAAAATGCATGTAAAAAATATATTTTTTTTCAAATTTCTAATGCTTACCCACCTTTGACAATATTGCAAATCGATTTAATACTTAATATATTTAAAAAAGTTCTTAGTGTAGGTAAATATAATGATAATAAATAGAAAAAATCAATCTAAATAACATTATGGGTTGGTATTTATCCATTTCTTACGTTTTCAGTTATAAAAATGGCAGTAAATTCATTAAATATTGGTTAGATAACTTTTTTTTTATGAATCAGCCCTTTTTTCTCACTACTTTTGGCGATTTGCTCGAAAAAATAAAAAAAAAAAACGATTTTTTTCAAAAACTGTCCTTTGACGACTCCTACTGGTGAACCAATGCGAGTTACAAAAAAAAACTCAAAAGCAATTTTAAAGAGCGTGAAATTCCCCATAAGGTGTATTAAACCGATTTGCAATATTGTCAAAGGTGGGTAAGCATTAGAAATTTTAAAAAATAAACGGTAAAACTTTAAATTTAAATAGTAAGTGCTTAAAATTAATATTAAGAGCTCAAACTTGGTGAGAATGTTTTTTCCTATATGCAGAATAATATTTTGCTTGAGCACCGAAAAAAACCAAAAACTTTGCGGAAATGAATCACCCTAGTATACATTGTATACTGCCAAAGTTTAATATTTTTTTAAATAAAAATGTCAAAACCAGTTAAGATTGTCAAAGTCAATTCTTACTTAAGAATGTCAGAAGCATTAAAGATACTCGTACTAAAAAACCTTTTATTTTGTCAAAAACATATTTGTGAATGTTAACATGTAAAAGATAATACAAAACATATAATTGAATAAAAAGATATTAAAAAAATTATTTTAAATAAGCAAATTTTATAAAGTCTTTAAGAATGTTAAAATCAGAATATACCTATTTTAGAATGTCAAAGGATATTTTAGAATTTGAAGGATAATTGACAAATTTTAGAAAGTCCATAAAAACTAGAACTAGACTTTTAAGAATTTTAAAACACAATTTAGAATATACCCATTTTAGAATGTCAAAAGCTATTTTAGAATCTAAAAATATTAAAAAATATTTAAGAATTTTAAAGATAATTGTAAAAGTCAAAAACAAATTTTAGGATGTCAAAAGATATTTTAGAATTTGAAAGACAATTGAAAAAATCAACAACACATTTTGTAATTTAAACGATAGTTGAAAAAGTCAACAACAAATTTGAAAAATGCTTTAAAAAAACTAGATTTTTAATAATGGTTAAACACATTTTAGAATGTCAAAACATGTATTAAAATTTGAAATATAATCAAAAAATTCCAAAGTTGTGGCTTTATGGCGCTTTAGTCACGGTCTGAAGTTAGCAACAGGTTTTTAGTCACGGGCTGAAGTTAGTTTTAAGTTAGTTGACAGTTGTCAAATGTCATACAATCGTTAAAATAAAGGGCCTTCCTTATAAAATAATACTAAATGTGAAAATTATTTTATTATCTCAATACAAAAATACAAAAGTATTAAATAGTTTCTCAACGCTAATATTTGAAAAGATTATATGAACATTGTACTGACCTTTTAAATTCGCCAGTAGTAAACTATAACTTATAAATTCGGGCACGGACTTATAAATCGAAATGTATTTCTTGAAAATTGTGTTTATAAAATAAAAAAATGTGACATTTGACGGTGACACACAGATTCCCCTATTGTTTCATAGATGGCGCTCTATAAAAATTTTTGATTTAATTTATTTTGATAATAATAAGTATTTGCGTAGAAAAAGTATAGTATGCGCCTCCTTTATAAATGGCGTTTATCGAACTTGATACATAATTCTATTAAATAAGAATGTTAAAATTCAGAATATTCATATTTTAGAATGTCAAAGAATATTTTATAATTTGAAGGATAATTGACAAATTTTGAAAGTCCATTAAAACTAGAACTAGACTTTTAAGAATTTTCAAACAAAATTTAGAATATACCCATTTTAGAAAGTCAAAAGCTATTTTAGAATCTAAAAAATAATTAAAAAGTCAACAAAACGTTTTAGAAAGTTTATAAAAATTAGATTTTCAAGAATACTAAACACGATTTAAAATATTAAAAGATATTTAAGAAATTTAAAGATACCTAATTGTAAAAGTCAAAAACAAATTTTAGGATGTCAAAAGATATTTTAGAAATTCTATAAAACTAGATTTTTTAGAATATTAAAACACAATTTAGAATTAACACATTTTGTAATTTTAAACGATGATTGAAAAAGTCAACAAAAAATTTTAGAAAATGTTAAAACACAATTTAGAATGTCAAAAGATATTTTAGAATTTAAAAGATAATTGAAAAAGTCAACAACAAATTTTAGCAATTTTACAAAATTTAGAATTTACAATTTAGAATGTCAAAAGATATTTTAGACAACAAATTTGATAAACTTTACAAAATCTAGACTTTTAAGAATGTTAAAACATAATTTAGAATACACACATTTTAAAATTTCAAAAGCAATTTTAAAATTTAAAAATATTTTTGAATTTTAGAGTCAACAACAAATTTTAGAAATTTAAGAAAAATGAGATTTTTAAGAATGTTAAAATACAATTTAGAATGTCAAAAAATATTTTAGAATTTGAAATATAATTAAAATTTTAACAACAAATTTTAGAAATTTTACAAAAATTAGATTTTCAAGAACTTTAAAATTCAATTTAGAATATCAAATGATATTTTAGAATTTAAAAGAAAATTGAAAAAGTAAACAAAATTTTTTTTAAAAATTAGATTTTTAAGAATGTTAAAACACTATTTAGAATGTCAAAAGATATTTTAGAATTTAAATGAAAAAGTCAACAACAAATTTTAAAAATTTTACAAAATTTAGATTTTTAAGAATGTTAAAACACAATTTTGAATGTCAAAAGACATTTAAAATACTTAATTGAAAAAGTCAACAATAAATTTTAGAAAGTCTATAAAAACTAGACTTTTAAGAATGTTAAAACATAATTTAGAATACACACATTTTAGAATGTCAAAAGATATTTTAGAATTTAAAAGATAATTAAAAGTCGATAAAAAAGAGATTTCTAAGAATGTTAAAAGGGTTTTTTAAAACACAATTTTGAACATTTAATTACATTTTAAAATATTAACAGATACTTAAGAATGTCAAAAACAAAAAGTATATATAAACATAATTAAAGAAACAATTTGGAAAAATTATAAAAATTTCTTTTTTCAAAAATATGTGTTTTTAAGATTCTCAAACCTAATTTAGAATATTTTACCATATTTTAGAATGTGGAAGATAAATAAAAATGTCAAATCTATATGTAAGTACTTTTTGGGAAATGTTGTCAAAATGTGGCAACATTGCTTGTTGTTTTTTTACTTTTTCGCTGTTCTACGCCGACCTGGATTATTTATAACGTCTGCACACCATGGAAAATTGTATTATAAAAAAAATCATTAAAAAAATGACGAGGCACGTATTTTTATGACATAGGTAGGTACCTGTTTTGCGCGTTGGCATTTTCTAAGACCAATTACAGCCTTTGTTGCACAAAAATACTTTTGTGCGCCACTGTAAAAAAGGAATTTATATTGTGATGATCAAAAAGAGTACAAAGTTAGTCATTGTGGATTATTTAATTATTGGAAAAGGAATGGGTTCGAAATTTAATTTAAATAGCCGTTTTTTACCATGAATAATCTTATTCATATACACCACACAATTATCAAGCGTGGTGGATTTTTTATTGTGGATAGGTAACAGATTTCTTATTAACAACACAAATTGAATTCTATAATAATGGCTGTTTGGTTAAATTTGTTATGGGAAGGATGAGATGAATTTTTAGATTTTAACAAGTTTTAATTTATATTACAATGAAAATATTGTTTCCTGCTTAGATTAAGTCGATCATTTCTTTATATTGGAGAGGAAAATATTTTATACATTGCATTTTATAATGACAAACAAAAAATATATCAGTCCTTTGTCAGGTAATTGTCATTAGCCAACTTAATCTAGCTTCTTTTGGTATTATCTGCTGGTAACTAATGTAACTAAAAACACTAACGATCTACATCCTTCAAAAAGTTGTTTAATACTTAAATAGTTTTTACCTACAAATTATTAATTCACTTTATCAATCAAATCGGCATTAGCTGCAGCTGCAGTGAAATTGACCCAGTAATAGAAATATAGAAACTCATGAAAAATAAATATATTTACAACTAAATAAATCTAGGCACTCACCTTTCACATCGGCATTCACTAAAGGCACTATCGTTTCATATTAGATTATCTAGAACAGAAAGAGCATTATAAGTAACATGTCCATTTTTGTTTGAAAATAATTACTTATAACGCCGCAAGCTTCAATACACCTATTAAGATATACAATTATTAAAACCTACGTTATAAAGTATTACTATAATTTGTGAAAAAGTGGGAAGAAAATTAAACCGTTTTGTAAAAAAACTGGAGAACACAAAGTAATTCTAACAAAAGTATAATAAACTAAAAAATGCATAAATAAACAAATTGTTCAACATTAAGTACGCCCACCTATATTATCTAATTTTGGGCAGATGATTTCAAAAATGCCACTCGTTTTGCTCCAGGACGTCTAGGATTCGAATTGCGTAATAAAATGCTCTGCCCAATTTACTTAAAATGTGTGTTTTTTTGTTAATATTTTGATTACTTATTAAATTATTTTGCCTTAAATCTATTTTGGATGTACCTAGTATATTTTTGACGTTTTTTGTGAAAAATTTACAAAATCATCGGTATGTCAAATAGAAAATATTTTTATTTTAAATTTTTTGTTCCATTGTAGCAGTATACGAGTACATTACAGTACATTTACAATACCTGTATAGTAATTTTTAATAAATGCTTAGTGAATTTCAAGAAACGTTTTGTAATTTACCCAAATTGAGTTGTATTACTACACAGTAAAAAAAAATCAACTCTAAGCAACACTAATTAGAATTCACACAGGTCCACACTAAATAGTGTTGTTTTATAATACTACAATTAGAGTTAATTTGTAGTGTAATTTTCCCCAAGTAAGCAAGTATGATTTAACACTATAGCACTGAGGATAAAGTAATTTTACACTTTATTAAAAAGTTTTAATTTACCTAAAATCGTGTACTTCTACACTTCCTGGGTAAAATCCCATTTTTCATCAGTATAAATTAACACTACTTTGGAAAAGTTCTAATTTTAGAAAGGTACTTTTACTCTTTTAGTGCAAACTTCTAGTGTAAATTAACACTATTATTTGAGTAAAACCTATTGGTGGTAGTGAATAAAACGAAAAGGTAAATAAAGAGAAACATTTATTTGGAACAAAAATCTATGACAATTATCAAAATCGGTGCCTTTTAAAATATAATTTTATATTCGAGTAGTATGGCTGGCTTAAGCAAAATGGTTCCTTAAAACGTAAAAGTTTTAGATCAATGCAATGTTTTACTGGCTGTCAACTTGTAAGCAATGAATTATCTTGAGAATTCATCAGTAATCCATTTTTCTGTTATAAAAAATGGATGAGAGGCGTCAGGCGGCTGTATGTCGGGGATTTACCACAGGTGTACAAATTTTCCATAATATTAATAAAAATGTAGGTATAGGTTAATATAACAACCATTGCGCTTGAAAATAAAAAGTAAATCAAGTGTGTATGTATTTATATTATTAATTTTACAAGTACCCAACCTACTGCCGTAAATTATTGATATATAATATAGGTCGGGTATGGACTTCCTTTTAACATATTTGTATCTATTGAGTATTAAGGCTTAAAGAAAAAGGAAGTATAATACTTACCAAAAAATTAGAATGTCCCCTTATGGATTCACCGTAATTAAAATCTAACTAAACAAAAATGCCACACTTCCACAACGCGGTATCTACGGATATGCACTGCGTAGGTAGATAGGTACCAACCAAACATTTTAAGACGCATTTTGGTTTTTACAAGTTTTTTCAGTCTATTTTGCCACTATTGGTGTAATTTAACTTTAATTGTGATACAATGTGCACTAGTAGTGTAAAGAAAAAAGAGCTCTTAGTAACATCAAAACAAACAAAGAAATTGGCAATTGGTAATAAACACTCGCATTAAGTTTTTCTACCCTTTTGATTTATTTTAATAATAAATAGTGTGAATGTACCAATGAATAATGTTCATATTTATATAGGTATACCTAGTGTATTTTGTAGTGTAACTTTTACACTTACAAATCAACTCTAATATTTTTACCCCTACACTAAAAAATTTACACGGGCAAAATTTTTTACTGTGTATATTGTGGTGCGTAAAAACTTCCTAAACATGTTTAGTACCTATATATTTTGTAGATAAAGTTGGGTTTACAACTCAAATGCACCATGTGAGACACCCTTATGTATCTAAAATGCTACTACAAAGCATTTCGGAGGACAACTTAAACTTTAATTTCATCTAGATATCTAAAGGAAATAAAGAGAAGATTCAAGTGTACTATAGACAGTGTTGGTCTGTGGAATGTGGATCTCAGTGCTTAGGCAGGGTGCTCCCAACTCTGAGTCGCGCACTGAGCACCTCTAGAAGACCGGTCTACATCGGGATTTTCTTCTATATTCTTCCAATGCTGGCGCCGAACCTTTATTGTACGTGTTCGCTCCATGCGAAGCCATTTACGAACGAATTAAATCAACAAAAGCGCATACGGAAGATATTTTTGTCGAGCATTTTACATCAGTGCATTTTCTGAAGGTGCAAAAAGTTTAGCTTAAAACAGCAACACTGTTAAAATTTTTTGTTGTAATTTTACTAAACATGTTTAGGAAGTTTTTACGCACCACAATATAGTAATAATAAAACTCACGATTCATTACAACTCAATTTGGGAAAATTACAAAACGTTTGTTGAAACTAACTAAGCATTTATTAAATTTTTTTTCAGTAACATCAGGTATGGTATTTTTGCTAAAACAAATACTAAATATGTTCAGTAATTTATTACAATACAATTCATTCCAACTCAGTTTAAGAAAATTACAAAATATATTTCACAATTTTACTGAACTGAAGAAAATTCGTTTCGCAATATTACAATACAAATATTGTTATTTTGTACAATAAATTACACTAAAAAAATTTAGTAATTTACGAATGCTGGTATTGTAATTATACTACAAAAAAATCCTGCAATTTTCTTAGGTTTTTCGAGAAACTTTCTTGACCCATTACTGTAAAGATTTAAAAAAATTAAACCTTCATCTCGCCAGAGTTTTTGTTTTAAGTGCGTTCCACCAAATTCAAATACCGACAGACAGCTAGACAGATAGACCTATTTTGGGTCGGACAATTTGGTGTATTGGAACACACCAAAAACGAAAGACACCTGAGCTTATATACTGTCCACCTAAGTCAACCGAAGCGAGATGTAAGAAATCACGTGATTGCCGCAATCGGTACATACTATGCATTTTACATAACATTATAGCAAATCAAATTACAAACAACGTTTGTAAATCTGAGATGCTTTTTATTAGAAACTGTCAAACTGTTTAGTAAAATTACAATGCGTGTAGGATTTATACATATAGATTGTAAAATTACAACTTATCTTAGTAGATTTCCCAACATGTCTTGGAAGATTACTCAAATTGTATTATAATTTTTTATTGGTATACACTGATTTGTAATTTTACTCATTCTTTGTTTTGCAAAACAATTGTAATTTTACAAAAAAAATTAACAGTGTACATGATAGTAAAAATGCAAACAGAAGATGTATAAAATAAATAATGATTTGTATATTTACAAACATTTATTGTAATTCAAATAGCAAATTTTGGTTGGTAATTTTATTGATTAACTTAGTAAAATTAAATTCCGAATATGGTTTTCTACAAAAAATTATGTTAAAATTTTACAAAATAAAATTATTAAATTTTCTGTATTTTGGCTAATTATAAGGCACCGCTTTTTGGCATTGACATTTAGTCAAAGAGATTTGGCCTCAATGTTATCACAAAAATACTTTTTCGAATGGAAGCCTATGTAAGCCGCAAAGGTTACAAAATTCAGCGTAGGTGAACAACTTGTGGGCCGAATAGAGTGTAGCACACGGTATAATAAGTGTTGTATATACGTAGAACGCAGATATAAAAGGATAGCCTTCAGTATTATGTTCCCTATTTTGATCATTATCGTCGTTTTGCTTAAAAGGCACTTGCAGGTAAACGGATAGTTTTGCGAATATTTTGTTCTTAACGGAATGCGAAATATCATACGATGTATAGATAGATGAGTATCTAATGTCGGTATCTTTTAAGTGAACACGACTGCATCCATTTATTGGGGCATTTTTGTAATAAATAAAATTAGTTATTTATTAGTTTTATTGCATGCAAAAATGAGTTTTAAAGCTCAAAGTTTTTTAGAATTTTTTTTTATAGTTTAAAAATGCGTTTTTGTGATAACTACTAAACAAAATATTTTTTATGAAAATTTAAATTTTATTACATAAATGAGTTTTAATTTTTTAATTCCAATTTTATGATAAAAGTGTGTTTTCACGTCCTAAATAGCTGGCGAGCTTGCTAGCGAGTGTTTAATTAAATGAGTGTCTAGAAAAGTTAATAAACGAGTTGCATACTATACTTTTTCTACCATAAATACTTAATATTATCTAAAAAATGATTTAAATCAAAAATTTAGAGCGCCATCTATGAAACAATAGGGGAATCTGTGTGTCACCGTCAAATATATAATATTTATAACCTTAAGGTTATAAATCGAAATGTTTTTCTTGAAAATTGACAGTTTTTCACAGTGAAAGTAAATAAAATGTTTTATGAGCACTTTACAGTGGAGTCCGTGTCCGAATTTAAGTTATAGTTTACTGCCGGCGAAATTAAAAGGTCAGTCCAATGTTCATATAAACTTTTCAAATATTGGCGTTGAGAAACTATTGAATACTTTTGTATTTTTGTATTGAGATAATAAAATAATTTTCACATTTAGTATTATTTTACAAGAAAGGAACTTTATTTTAACGATTGTATGACATTTGACAACTGTCAACTAACTTAAAACTAACTTCATCCCGTGACTAAAAACCTGTTGCTAACTTCGGCCCGTGACTAAAGCGCCATAAAGCCACAACTTATCAATGTGTATTTAAAAAATCACTTAGTGTCATGTAAACATATACGATAATTGGTGTTTTAAAGATGGTAGTAGAAAAAATACCTTAAATTCTAATTCTAATTATAAATTTAAATTACTTTATTAAGTTT